ATTTAAATTAAAAAAAAAACATCTTAAAACTTCAAGTTTCTAATTTTGAGAACTTTTGTTAAAAAAAAAATTCTAAGCTACGATTCTCACGCAATCCTAAAAAATAGCACGAGAAATAAAATTGTTTTTATTTTTTGGTTAAATCAATGCATGGGTCGCATAACTTGTATATTCAGCTTTAATTGGCTTTTTATAGTATTTTACGTCAATTTGTCGCTGAGATATCTGACTTTTAATGAAAAAAAATTCTTTTGTTTTTGATCATCGATATCTCAGCCACCAATTACCACACAAAGAATGAAAGAATGTAAGAGTAGTCTCAAAAACTGGAATTTTCTTCCAAGATATTTTTTAATTTTGTGAAACATTTTTTTTTACCCAACAATGTTTTGTCTACTTTTTACAATTTTGCATTAGTTATTTGAAAAAAAAATCTAAAACATTTTAGAAAAGATTTTTATTTTTATTTTTTCAAAAATTAGTATTGTTTCTTATTTTTTTTTTACAAATTTTTAAAACAAAATAAACAAATACAACAAAAATTTCTCGCGCTATTTCTTAGGATTGTGTGATAACCGTAGCTCCGAAAAATTTTTACCAAAAGAATTCAAAACTAGAAACTTGAAGCCTTAAAATGATTTTTTTTAACTTAAATGCAACCATTTTTCAATCATTTTTAATTTAATTTAAATTAATTTTTTGGAGTAGTGAATCTGAAATGAAGAAAAAACTCAAATAGAACCCTCACAAAATTTCCTCCCCTGAAAAGAGTTTATTTTTGATTTTTTCACAAATTTTAATTTCAATTTCAATCTTTCGGCACTTTTTTAAGTATTTAAATATTCCTATTTACGGACCCCGACACGTCGTAAACCAGCCAATTAACACCTCGAAACGAGAGAATTAAGAATAAACAAGCAGAAGGATAAGATAAACATTTAGCTCGCGTTGTCACCCGTCTTTAATTTTCCTTTCTCTTGTAATTATTTCTAATAAAAGAATAAATTTTCTATCGTGTGATTGTCGCTTTCAAAGAGCATTAGCACGCGCCCGCCGTTTTAATTCGCTTAAACCGTTGTAATAAAAGATTTTGTCTTTCTTTTCTCCAAGTTGGCAGCTTGCTTGAGAGTAGGTCAAAGTTTTATCAAACGGTTTTTTGCACTCTTGTTAATGTTTTAATTAGCAGTTGGCGTCTGCTCAGGTGCGAAATTCGACTTTTCTGTCGGGGAAAAATACAATTTTAAGTATTTTTAAACAATTTTCTCGTCGCGAAATGATAAAACAATACGAACAAATTAAAACAAAACAAAAACTCGCTCTGCGTTTTTCGATTGGTTTTTTAAGTTGTTTCCTTTTTTTTCCAGAAAGCATTCGGCTGGGACGGCGCCCAATCGGGCGGCAGCCCCTCGGGGCCGCAATCGGGGGGCGTGGGTGGCCAGGGGGCACAAGGACTTGTCCACTGGATGAGTGTAATGGCCGAGCATATGGATCCGGCGATGTCACATTATATGTCCTGGAATCAAGAGGTGAGACATATTGCACCATATTTGCCATATTTTTCAGCACTTTTGCGGTGTTTATTTCATTGATAAGGAATTTACAAGTGTTTAGTGTTTAAACAGCCATTATCACACGATTTTTGGCTTTATCTTGGAGTGTAGATGGAAAATTTTGCGTAGTCAAGTATATTTTTGTTGTGCAAAATGAGTTAAGGATTCCGAATCTGTTAATTTTTTTTAGGTTTGATTATTAATTCCGAAATTATTGTCGAAAATTTAATCCGACAATAGGGGAAAATTGTGGTTAAAAGTCAAAAAACAGAATTTTGGATTCAATACAACATAAAATAATTTCGGGCTTAGAAAACTGTCTACGATATTCATAAAAAAAATACTTTTTTTGTGTTTTTTATAAAGGGCCATGAAAATGTCTTCAAACTGAATTTTTCTCCACAAAAATTTACTCAAATTAATACCATATTTGCGCTTTTTTAAGCAGTAGGTAAGAGATAATTTTTAATTTTTTTTTCATCAACAAGTCAAAAGTTTAGCATTTTTTTATTATTACTGAAAATTTTTGCTTCAAAAAATATGAAACTTATTACATCTGGTGTAAGTTGAATGTAAATTTTGTTACTTTTGGCGTTGTTAATGAAAATTCCTCAATCTTTGTCAATTTTTAAGAAAAATGGATATTATAAAGTATAAAGAAAATATTTTTTTGTTTACAATACGACCGGAAATAAATATGTCTGATGGTTGAAAGTCATGTAATTTTTTAATTTTTTAGTATTTTTATGATCAAATAAATTTAATTTTTTTATAAAAAAACTGGAATAATACTGTCTCAAAATTGTACTTTTCTTACAGAAAAATTTATTCTTCATTCCGAATTTACGATTTTCAAGCAAGAGATAGTTTTATTCTACACATCGGTAAAAATTATTTTTACTTTTTTTCATCAAAAAGTCAAAGTTCAGCATTTTTTTTACTAAAAATTTTGGCACCAAAAAATATGAAACTTATTTCTTCTGATGTAAACTGAATCGAGGATTCTAAATCTGTTAAATTTATTTTGCTACGACCATTAGTTCCGGAGTGATTGTTGACGAAAATTCTATTCGGAAGTGGTGAAACGCAGTATCAAATTTTTGTGAATAATCGATATCGAAAAACAATGAAAATATTTTTTTGCTGTCAATACGATCGGAAATAAATAAGTCTAGTCATTAATTTTTAAATTTTGTGATTTTGTTAAAGATAGAAGAAATATTTTGTTTATGGTCAAAAAAATGTTTTTACTGAAAATTTTTGGACTAAAAAATTATGAAATTTATTTCATCTGATGTAAATTAAACCGAGGATTCTAAATCTGTTAAATTTATTTCCCTACGATTATACGTACGATTACGGAGTTGTTGACGAAAATTTAATCCGGAAGTAGTGAAATACCGGGTATCAAATTTTTTCAATTTTTGGGTAAACCTAAGATCGAAAAGCATTGAAAATATTCTTTTGTTTACAATACGATCGGAAATAATTAAGTCTGGTTATTGAAAATTGTTAAATTTTTCAATTTTTGTGATTTCGCCAAAGATTGAAATGTTTTTTATGTTTAAGTAAATTTAATTTTTTTAAGGCAATTATAAATATAAGTGCTTTTTTTAAAGAAAGTGGGTGAAATAGTCTCAAAATTGAATTTTTCTTACACAGAAATTTGCCGATTTTGCGTTTTTAAGCATTAGATAGTTTTCCAAGTATCTATCGGTCACAATTATTTATTTTTTTTCAATAAAGTTAAATATTTTTTTAATTTTTATTGAAAATTTTTGATTCAAAAAACATGAAAAACTTATTACATCTAATGTAAATTGAACGGAGGATTCTCGTTCCGGAACTTCATCTGGAAGTGTTGAAATTTTTGTCAATTTTTGGGAAAAATCGAGATCAAAAGAAAAGAAGAGATCAAAAGAAAGAGCAGTAAAAAAGAATTTTTATTTGCAATAATGTTGGAAATCTGGTCATCAAATCGTCTAATTTTAAAATTTTTGTGATTCCGTTAAAGATTACAATAAGTACAAAACTTTTCTTATATGTATAGAATATTTCAAATATTGCAAAGCTGTACTAATTTTTTTCTGCAAAAAACAATTTCCCAATAAAAATCCTTTTTAGTTTTTATTTTTCCGTCTATTTTTGTTATTTTTTTAAAATTAACCTTTATAAAAAAAAATTTTGCCCGATAAAATAATGGAATTATAAATAACAATTTGTTTAGATATAATAAAATCTTAAGTAGCAAAGGGGTCTGAAAAGCCAAATCAATCAAAAATCAAAACATTGATTTTTAGTAATTTTTGTTTAGGTTTTTTACCTGTTTTTAAAGTTTTTGATTTTTTAAGTTTGTTGCCGTGATATGTACACAAAATTAAACCTTTTTTCGATAAGCTTATGAATTTGTTATCAATTATTGTGTACTATAACCAGTTTTCAAGATATCGGTCGAAACTTCAATTTTTAGTAATTTTTAATAGATCAGACACTGATTGGTTTATTTTTGTGATGTTATCAATTATGTTTAGTCAGAAAAAAAATAAAATTTGTCAAATTTATTCGACGGCGAAAATTCTTCATTAAGAAAATTGTTACCAAACGAATTTTCTTACTTCTAATTTTTTGAGTTTATTGTTTACGTAAAATTGTTCTATGATTCCGTATTCGCATTTATTTTTTCCGAGATATATGATCCTTAATTAGAAATTAATAAAATTATTGAATTTTTCCATTAAACCGTCCCCGGTTGCTCTCCAATTACCTTAGAGTAAAAACCCTTTCACCCGTCATTCGAAAAAAAATCACGAAAAAAACGCACCAGCAACGGTAAAAGACACACGGGAATTAGCATACGCGTCTTAAACAAAGCCCTTCCACCCCTTTGATAATTTTTTACCTCTTTTCTCCCGGCGATCTTTTAATTTTTTTTCATCTCTCCATTCATCTCAGTGTTTCTCACGATAAATGAACGGCGGCTCCATCATCTATCTTCCGTTTGTCTAATCGTTAATAGGCATTTTTGTCACGTTGCCATTGCGATTTGCATACGGGGTTGAGAGAAAAAATCGTCCCTCAGGTATATGCAGATGAGTGTCATAGTTTTTTGAGGGTCCTCTTATAGTTTTTTTTCTATTATCTATGGATCCACAGCGTTTTATTATCTCACGGTGTAAGAGCTGGTTTTAATTTTATTTATTTATGCGAGGGGTGGCGATGTTTGCCAGCGCTGTTTTTTGCAAGAGGTTGAAATGATGAATGCGTTTTAATTAGATGTGAGGAGGTAAATTATTTTTTTGGGAAGTGAAAAAAAACTCCATGGGTAACGGCCACAGAAAAAAAAAGTCGACTATTTACAAAAAATTAAAGTAAACTGTTCCACAAAAGTTAAGGAAGTGAATTATTCAAAAATAAATTAATAATTAATTAAAATTGAGATAAAGGCGGATATTTTTTTACTTTTTGTTTTTGATGATTTTTTACTTTTTTGTTTTTGATGATTCCACAATGCTTAGAAGAATAAAATTTGTTTGTTGTAAAAATAATGCCACTTCCTTAACTTTTGTGGAGCAGTATATTTAGTTTTCTATGTCTAGAGTTGCAAAAAATTAATGTTTTTTTCAGAATTTTTTTTAAGTGAAAAATGAGAAGATAGAATTTTTCTAATTAAAATAATTCAGTTTGGGGCGAATTTGATCGTTGGTTTGCCCGCTTGGATCAAGAATAAAAATAGTCCAGTCGATTAAACCCGACGTTCCCTCATCGTTATCCCATCAACCACTTGGGAATGCCAGAAAAAATCCACCAACCCTTCCCGATTTTTTATTTAAATTTTCTTCACACCGCAAAAAATCTTATGCTAAAAACCTGCCGCACACAAGTAGTTAGCCCTTGAGGTATTTAACCCTCTCTTCCTTGTCTTTGCAGCAGTCTCGACCCTCCCGGCGGGGGTTCAAAGGGTTGCTCATCTACATAATCTCCCTATTATCATATCAGATGCGTGTTTTGGTTTTTGACAATGCCATTCGTCTCATTCAAGAGCACTCGACCGAAAACCTTTGTTTTTCGATCACTTTCCAATTATTTTCTCAATTAAAATATCAGAAATTGCGATGTGTGATTAGTAGAAAAAAATGCGTATGTATCCCGTGAGTTGTTTGAGTTCCAGGACGGTAATTACCGGATTTCGGCCCCCTTTTCAAAGGCTTAAGGATGAAATAAAGGCCGGATTACGTCGAGTGTATTCATTAAAGCCTTTTACCGGGTGATGCACCCGATATATGCAAAAGACGTGTGTGAAAAAAGCGACGAAACCACACTGTGACCCCTCCGGAAACAACACGAAAAAAATTTCCAAATCCGTTAACCCTTTCACAATTTTTTTCAACCTTAGAAAAAAATCATCTAGAGGGCTTGTTTGCATATACGTTGTCGTTGATTAAATCGGACGTTAAAACGGCCTACTAAACACGAATAGTTCGGGATAGTCGACAAAAAAGCGATGCTCGTCTGTTTTTGATTCCACGAAACTCACATACACATGTGCTCCAATCGGCCAACGCGATCTCTCAATTGTTCCGTGCCTCCCCTGCGGCGGCCATTGATGACGTCACTTGTGATGAGAGTGGGGGTGGATTGGTGCGAAAAGTCGCATTTTTTTCGCAAGAGGTCACATGTGGCGGCTCATAGACACGTCGAGGGTTTGATTGGTCGACTGTTTTTTACCATATGTGTTGCGATGGTGAATGACAGAGGAGAAAACGTGGAAAAAACGTCTAATTTGGGATTTTTAATGAGCGAGGGGGTGTCGAGTTACGGCGAGAGGGGGGGAGAGATAAGAGGAGACAGAGTTTGAACTGTAATTTTGCTCAATTGGAAGTCATTTTAAAACTGGACAAGTAATTGGCTATAATTTTAAATAATTTCGATTGATTTTGATAAATAATTGAAAAGTTGAACTCACAATTAGGAGTTGATCGCCGGTAAAGATACACTTTTCATGACTATTAACACCGGTTGAAATTAGAGAACTGGTAGTTTACAACGTAAATACCTGCGATTGAGATAAGAAAAAATACGAATTGCTGGAAAAATAAATATGTAACGGGTGGTTTAAAATTATGATAAGTTGTGCAATTAATTAAAAAATATGATACAGGGTGTCTCAAGTGTGGTGGTCTGACTAATTAAAAAAAAATAGTTTGTCTAGTATATTTGCAGAAATTAAGACAATGATGCAATAATATACAGGGTGTTTGATTTAACAAACTAATTTTGAATATTATTTTTTTCAAAATAATAATTACAAACAAAAAAGCCCTAAATTTATTTAGGAAATCACTGAAAAGTAGTTTTTAGTCGATTTAAAATTTTGACACTAGACACTTGTTTTAATCTTAAAAAGTGTCACCCTGTATGTCAAAATTTATATTTTTTAAACTTTACAGGTTTCGGACTTAAAAGAAAAAATATCAAATAAATAAATATTTTCAGTGTTTTGACATGCCATATAAGGTAAGATACCGGGAATAAACACCCTGTATAAACCATTTTTTCGTATGTTTCTGTAATGTTTGACAATTTTTTCTTCTCTCTTGAACCACTCTGCATACATACGCATGTTTTTTATCTTATGTAGTCACGTTTGTACTTTAAGTTAGTTAATGTAATTAGAGTCGTCCTGTATATACCCCACATTTCAAAACTGAATTACATTAAATTTAATTAATGAAAAGTGTGAAACAATTAATAGCGACTTTAATTTATATTACAAGTATGTAACTAAAACTTAAAATTCTGGGAAAAATAAAAAATTCTCTTCAATTATTTGTTAATTAACCGTTTTGTTTTCTAATTATCTAACTATTTTAATTTAATTTGAACAAATTGAAGTTTTTTGTTTTGTTTTTTACACAACTGAACTTTTCGTTTTAAGCGACTAATTCCTAAATGACTTTTTTCACCCGTTGTAATACCTGCCAGTCCTACCAAAACAATTTTTCTAAAATTCCCAAATCTAGGTCAAATATCCTAATTTTCTCCCCCCCTCCGATTATTTAACAAATTCCACTGGAACCCCCTTTCTCGCCCCTTCCAGAGCCGGCTCGCAGGTACCGTTCGATAGCATCGCGGGGGGTGGGAGTGCCGCCGCCGCCACGGCTGAAAAAATCGCCCTCTTCGTCGGTGCTGCTTTTTTTCGGGGGGCGAGCGGGGGTATGTTCGAAAAAAAAATGGCGCGCAAGCGTGAGCCCGAAAAAGTCGAAGAGCGAGGGGTGCACCCTCCCGACCTCCTCCTCCCCTCCTTGTCTAACGTTATTGATTTTCGTAAAGCGTCTCTCGTCTAGTCCTGACCTGCGGCACGTCGATTCTTATTCGGCAGGACATCGATTGCGGGGAGTCCGAGGACTTTTTAGGTTGTTTACACGGGATATGGGGGTGGGTTGGGGGGTTTTGGTTGATATGTGGGAGTTTGACTTGGGAGAAAATTGGAGGAGAAAAGTGGTGCGCGGAGGGTTGGAGGGAAACGACGGGAGGGCGGGAGGGGAAGACAAAGAGAAATAAATATTTTTTGATTAAGTTCATTCATATTCTAGTGTTTGAACAGTTAATTAGTGTTAAATTTAGTTTATAGTTAATTCTCAATTAATCATTATTTCTTATACACAGGATGAATCATGAAATTTGTCCCAGATGTAGTTTCAAACTTTTTATACAGCACTGAACAGATTTAATTTAATTTTTATTAATCAATACTTTTTAGTTATAATTTTTTTAAATTAGTTTCACTTAATTTGAATTAATTTGTTCTAATTGATAATTATGAAATAATCTCTAAATGAAGAAATTATTTCATTGTTGTCGATGTAAACTATTTTTTAA